AAGCTAGAGGGCCCTGCACCCCAACTCCTCAGTCAGACGTAACTCTCAGCCAGCCGGTAAAACAGAAGGTTTATTAGTCAACAGGAACACAGCGTAGGGCAGAACTTGTTAGCACAGAAATCAGTGACTTTCAGCCAAGTCTATCTTGTGGGGCGGGGAGCCCAGAGCCAGGGCTCTGGTCCTCCCCCCTGCACCCCAAACCAGCCAAGACTGACTTGCTTCCAGCTGGAGCAGCCCCCTCAAAAGTCACACACCCTTATTCCCACCACCTAGACATTGGTGCAATACACAGGGAAACTGAGGCACACACAGCATTCATGCAAAACAGTAAGATTCACATAGGCTCACATACAACATAACAAGGGAAATTCCCCACTACATCACACCCTGCCCTGCTTCTGTGCATGTTTTCCTAATTCCAGGGATAGGCCCCAGAGCAGCTGGCACTGAGTGGGAGTGGTCAGTGCTGAGCAGGATGTCTTTGTGGTTGCAGATGCCGGTGCAGTTCAAGGATGTGGCTGTGATTCTGACTGAGGCAGAGTGGTTGCTGTTGGATGAGGAGCAGAGGCAGCTGTATGGGACTGTCATGCAGGAGAATTACCGGAGCATTAGCTCACTGGGTTAGTTGGGTGATTATCCAAACTTCTTGACTCATGCGGAAGCTCTGGGCAGAGCTATCTGGAAAATCGTAAATCTTTTCCACCGAAAAATTGTTTTGAAAGAAAGTAAAAATATTTTTTTCACAAATATTTCAAGTTTTTCAACAAGAACTAAATCGTCTGTGTTTTTTCCCCATTCTTTCCTTTCTCTCCCCCATGACTTTTACTGTTTTGGTACTGGGGGAATAAACGAAAAACAAGAGAGAAAAAACAAAAACTGGAAACTCTTTTGTTGAAAAGTAGAATTTTTTTACATGGAAATCAAGTCTGTTTTTCATCCAAAAATTTTGTCGAACAAAAAAATGTTGACCAGCTCTGGCTGTGAGTAGAGCTAGACAGAAAATGGAGATTTTTTTCCCTGGAAAATTTCAGTGGAAACTAATTTTTGTTTTGGGTTTTGTATAAATTTTCAGTGAAAAAAACAAAAAATGTTGAGCAAAGCAGAAAATTTCCACTAATTTTTATGTTCAATGTCCCAATTTTAGTTGAAAATAAAGTTTGGATGGCTAGTCTTTGAGCAGTTCTCTCGGTGAGTTCTCTGCTATGCCCAGGTCTGGTGGGCTCCTGGTAGCACCGTGAGGAACCAGAATTTTTGGCTTGTGAGAAATTTCGCATTTCTAAAATTCAGACAACAAAGTCAGAAATTAGAAATTTCCCATGAAACTGAAATATTTGAAAAATTTCGTGTCAGAAGAACCAAAATGGAATTTATAAACATCTCTCAGGGAGCCAGCCAATCTTGCAGCTTCATGGTTTCCACTGAAACTTGTGTTGGAAACTTTTTCACCCATCTCTAGTTGCAGGCTATTCCCTGGTCTCTTGGGTTCCTGGTGGGAGGTGGCATTAGAATCCCAGACTAATCTTTGCACCCCTTGTTTTCAAGGAGATTGAGAAACACAATACATGCACATAAAGTATAGAACTGCTCCAAACTTTCCCATCAAAATTATTTTCTATGGAAATTGGGTTTTTCAACAAAACTGACATTTTCACAAAAACTTTCCATCAAATATGTTGGGTGTCAGCTGCTGAAAACCCCCAAATGTGTGTGTTTTCATCAAAAGCCTGAAAAGGTTAAAAAAAAGACACACACACACACCCTGCTTTTAATCAACATTTTTTTGAAAAGTAATTTCCTGCGCACCTCTGCGATGGGCTGGAAGCAAGAATCGCTGGGTAAGACTCTCTGGCCTGGGTTATGCAGGAGCAAGTCTGGTCAAAACTCCACATTTCTGTTTCGTTTCGACATTTCAAAATTTGTTTTCACCCTGGATCAGAACAAAACCAAATATCCTTGTCATTTCCCATGAAACAGACATTCTGAACATTATTGTTTTAAAATGTGTTTTATTTTCATTTTTATATTTTTACATTATTTCATGATATACGGTGCACACGAGGACATGTACTCTTATGTCATGATTTGTAATCTTATGACATAATAGTCAAAATATTTATTTATTAAATACACTAAAGGCCATGGCTGCTTAGTACAGATTGAAATATCTTGACTTATTTTCTAGATCAAAGTGTCTCCTATTTATGTTGCAGTGAAACAGTTTGATACCTGTGGAACTAACGTGAGACGTAAATCTTGGAACTAGCATGACATTGTTGTCTCTCTTCTACCCCTTCCTGCACCCTATGTTTTGTCTATTTAGACAATGTTACTGCTGTGTAGTTGGTTGTCATGGTAACAGTTACATCATTTTTTCCTTGTATTCCTCCGTCTGTCTGTATAGATCTGTTGTCTCTTGTCATGTACTAGACTGTGAGCTTTTTCGGGTACAGACTGTCTATTTGTTGTGTGTTTGTACAGCGCCTGGCGCAATAGGGTCCTGCTCCATGACTGGGGCTCCTACGGCTTTACCATAACACAAATAATAAATAAATAAGAAACCGCAGCACAAACAGGAGACACTTTGGACTATGTCCTGTGATGCCCTGCTCATAATGTAAACAATGTAACGTAGAAAATATTCAAAACAACATTTATTTTGCAGTATTTTCATTTTTATATTTTCCAAAGAATTTTCATTTTGAAAATTATTTGCTTGTGTGGAAAATTTCCTTACGTTGAAATGGCATTGTCCAAAGGAAACATTTTTTTGTAGAAATTTACATACCTAGATCATAGAATCTCAGGGTTGGAAGGGACCTCAGGAGGTCATCTAGTCCAACCCCCTGCTCAAAGGCAACCAAAGCCCAGACAGATTTTTGCCCCAGTTCCCTTAATGGCCCCCTCAAAGATTGAATTCACATCCCTGGGTTTAGCAGGCCAATGCTCAAACCACTGAGCGATCCCTCCCTGGCTCAATGCCGCAGGCCAAACTGTCTGGATAGAATGGGCCCTGCTGGCCTTTGAACCTGTGATGCTATCCTGGGGTTCCCTATCTGAATACACGCAGGCACACATGCCCACACACACACGCTGCCTGTATTCCCTGCCTGCCTGAGCTGGGGTTCCTGCTCCAGCAGAGAGTGCTCTGGTCTGTCTCTGCAGATTCAGAGTTGTCACCGTTGGGTTGTGCCTGCCCCTCCTCCCACTGGTTGTCACACTTCCCCATTGTCCCCTCCCCAGCAGAGAGGGACCTTTGTACCAAGCCCTGGGGCTCGCTGACTGCTTCTTTTCTCTTCCCCATGGGCAGGTTGTCCGGTTCGCAAACCCGCCCTGATCTCTCAGTTGGAGCGAGGGGAGGAGCCGTGCATCCCAGATCCCCCAGCCCCTGAGGAGCAGGAGACCCAGAGGGATGTCCCAACAGGTGAGGGATGAATCAGCCAGCTCAGAAAGTAAAATCCTGGGATCCCAGCCACAAGTTCCCATGGCAGTGCCTCCTGGCTGCGTCTGCAGAGCCATGGGGTAGGCAGAGCTTAGTCACACAGCCAGGAGCTCCTGCAGCCCTGCCCCATGGCCGAATCCACTGAGCCATGCGGGAGGCAGAATCAAGACATGTTCTGCCTTTCCTTTCCACTCCTCACCACGATGAATCCAGGCGTGAGACTCTCACGGTCACCACTTCCAAGCTATTGTTACTCTGACATCCACCGGGCTTGGCTGTGCACAGCGATGCAGTAGTGCAGATAGCTGCATGATCGGGAAGTGTGGCCTGGTGCTTACTCACTGGCCTCGGATGATGAAGACCTGGCTTCTGTTTGACCTCTGACACAGACTCCCTGTGTGACCTTGGGCAAGTCATTTAGTCCCTGTGTGTGTCAGTTCCCATCTGTACACTGGGGATAACAGCCTTGCCCTGCCTCCCAGGCATGCATGTGGATAAACACATTAAGGATTGTGAGGTGCCTGCATACTATGGTGCTGGGGCCTGTCAATGCCAGAGATAGACACTTTAGAATAATAGAATCTCAGGGTCAGAAGGGACCTCAGGAGGTCATCTAGTCCAACCCCCTGCTCAAATCACAGGCGCCGACTCGGTGGGTGCTCCGGGGCTGGAGCACCCACGGGGAAAAATTGGTGGGTGCTGCACCCACCGACAACTCCCCGCCCCGCACTCCCCGCCGCAGCTCACCTCCGCCTCCTCCCCTGAGCGCGCCTTCCCTGCTTCTCCTCCCAGTGCTTGCTGCCGCGAAACAGCTGTTATGCGGCGTAACAAGCTGTGGGAGGGAGGGGGGAGGAGCGGGAACACGGCATGCTCAGGGGACGGGGAGGAGACGGAGAAGAAGCGAGGCCGGGGCGGGGATTTAGGAAAGGAGTTCAATAGGGGCAGGCAGGGGGCGGAGTTGAGGCAGGGACTTTGGGGAAGGGGTTGGAATGGGGGCGGGGCAGGGGTGAATTCGGGGCGGGGCCAGGGGGCACGAGCACCCACCAGCACCGGGAGAAGTTGGCACCTATGGCTCAAAGCAGGACCAATCCCCAACTAAATCATCCAAGCCAGGGCTTTGTCAAGCCTGACCTTAAAAATCTCTAAGGAAGGAGATTCCACCGCCTCCCTACGTAACCCATTCCAGTACTTCACCACCCTCCTAGTGAAAAAGTTTTTCCTAATATCCAACCTAAACCTCCCCCACTGCAACTTGAGACCATTACTCCTTGTTCTGTCATCTGCTACCACTGAGAACAGTCTAGATCCATCCTCTTCCGAACCCCCTTTCAGGTAGTTGAAAGCAGCTATCAAATCCCCCCTCACTCTTCTCTTCTGCAGACTAAATAATCCCAGTCCCCTCAGCCTCCCCTCATAAATCATGTGTTCCAGCCCCCTAATAGTTTTTGTTGCCCTCCACTGGACTCTTTCCAATTTTTCCACATCCTTCTTGTAGTGTGGGGCCCAAAACTGGACACAGTACTCCAGATGAGGCCTCACCAATGTTGAATAGAGGGGAATGATCACGTCCCTCGATCTGCTGGCAATGCCCCTACTTATACAGCCCAAAATGACGTTAGCCTTCTTGGCAACAAGGGCACACTGTTGACTCATATCCAGCTTCTCGTCCACTGTAACCCCTAGGTCCTTTTCTGGAGAACTGCTGCCTAGCCACTCGGTCCCTAGTCTGTAGCAGTGCATGGGATTCTTCCGTCCTAAGTGCAGGACTCTGCACTTGTCCTTGTTGAACCTCATCAGATTTCTTTTGGCCCAATCCTCTAATTTGTCTAGGTCCCTCTGTATCCTATCCCTACCCTCCAGCATATCTACCACTCCTCCCAGTTTAGTGTCATCTGCAAACTTGCTGATCATTAATGAAGATATTGAACAAAACCGGTACCAGGACTGACCCTTGGGGCACTCCACTTGATACCGGCTGTCAACTAGACATGGAGCCATTGATCATTACCCGTTGAGCCCGATGATCTAGCCAGCTTTCTATCCACCTTATAGACCATTCATCGAACCCATACGTCTTTAACTTGCTGGCAAGAATACTGTGGGAGACCGTATCAAAAGCTTTCCTAAAGTCAAGGAATTACATGTCCACTGCTTTCCCCTCATCCACAGAGACAGTTATCTCATCATAGAAGGCAATTAGGTTAGTCAGGCATGACTTGCATTTGATGAATCCATGCAAACTGTTCCTGATCACTTTCTTCTTCTCTAAGTGCTTCAAAATTGATTCCTTGAGGACCTGCTCCATGATTTTTCCAGGGACTGAGGTGAGGCTGACTGGCCTGTAGTTCCCCAGATCCTCCTCCTTCCCTTTTTTAAAGAAGGGCACTACATTAGCCTTTTTCCAGTCATCCGGGACTGCCCCCGATCACCATGAGTTTTCAAAGATAATGGCCAATGGCTCTGCAATCAAATCCGCCAACTCCTTTAGCACCCTCGGATGCAGTGCATCCGGCCCCATGAACTTGTGCTCATCCAGCTTTTCTAAATAGTCCTGAACCACTTCTTTCTCCACAAGGGGCTGGTCACCTCCTCCCCATATTGTGCTGCCCAGTGCAGTAGTCTGGGAACTGACCTTGTTTGTGAAGACAGAGGCAAAAAAAGTATTGAGTACATTAGCTTTTTCCACATCCTCTGTCACTAGGTTGCCTCCCCCATTCAGTAAGGGGCCCACACTTTCATTGACCTTCTTTTTGTTGCTAACATACCTGAAGAAACCCTTCTTGTTACTCTTAACATCCCTTGCTAGCTGCAACTCCAAGTGTGATTTGGCCTTCCTGATTTCACTCCTGCATGCCAGAGCAATATTTTTATACTCCTCCCTGGTCATTTGTCCAATCTTCCACTTCTTGTAAGCTTCTTTTTTGTGTTTAATATCAGCAAGGATTTCACTGTTAAGCCAAGCTGGTCGCCTGCCATATTTACTATTCTTTCTACACATCGGGATGGTTTTTTCCTGCAACCTCAATAAGGATTCTTTAAAATACAGCCAGCTCTCCTGGACTCCTTTCCCCCTCATGTTATCCTGCCCACCAGTTCCCTGAGGGAGTCAAAGTCTGCTTTTCTGAAGTCCAGAGTCCGTATTCTGCTGCTCTCCTTTCTTCCTTGTGTCAGGATCCTGAACTCAACTATCTCGTGGTGACTGCCTCCCAGGTTCCCATCCACTTTTGCTTCCTCTACTAATTCTTCCCTGTTTGTGAACAGCAGGTCAAGAAGACCTCTGCCCCTAGTTGGTTCCTCCAGCACATGCACCAGGAAATTGTCCCCTACACTTTCCAAAAACTTCCTGGATTGTCTGTGCACCGCTGTATTGCTCTCCCAGCAGATATCGGGGTGATTGAAGTCCCCCATGAGAACCAGGGCCTGTGATCTAGTAACTTCTGTTAGTTGCCTGAAGAAAGCCTCGTGCACCTCATCCCCCTGGTCTGGAGGTCTATAACAGACTCCCAACACGACATCACCCTTGTTGCTCGCACATCTAAACTTAATCCAGAGACTCTCGGGTTTTTCTGAAGTTTCATACTGGAGCTCTGAGCAGTCATACTGCTCTCTTACATACAATGCAACTCCCCCACCTTTTCTGCCCTGCCTGTCCTTCCTGAACAGTTTATATCCATCCATGACAGTACTCCAGTCATGTGAGTTATCCCACCAAGTCTCTGTTATTCCAGTCACATCATAATTCCTTGACTGTGCCAGGACTTCCAATTCTCCCTGCTTGTTTCCCAGGCTTTTTGCATACTATAATGGAGATATCCTATCTCCTAGAACTGGAAGGGACCTTGAAAGGTCATTGAGTCCAGCCCCCTGCCTTCACTAGCAGGACCAAGTACTGATTTTGCCCCAGATCCCTAAGTGGCTCCTTCACGGATTGAATTCACAACCCTGGGTTTAGCAGGCCAATGCTCAAACCACTAGAGCTATTCCTCCCCCAATACACGGTATTACACAGTAATACACAGTTAAACAGCTGCACTGGGCCGTGGGGATGTCCTTGTTCTGGTTTTAACCAAGCTTGTTTTGATTC